TCCTGTTCCTTAAGGGGGTAGACCACTCATTTTGGAAGGTCAGGGTGGAGAACCCTGTCAAGTCATGGGCTGGAAAACTCGAGGAGGTTTTGGAGGCGGTGGAGGGGCCTGCACAGCTGGTGGAGGAGGTGGAGGATACAGAGGTTAGACCACATTTTTGCCTTGTTTTTATTATATATATATATATATATATATCTTCATTTTTTAGTTTTGTTTCATTTTGTTACTGTTTCTCAACTCCATGACCATAGGGGGCAGTGCCTGGCACGATAATGATCCCAGAAAGGATGGAGATGATGGAACATCGTTCATAAGTCCTGATGGTGAAATGTACCTGGAGCCACTCAAAGGTAATACAAGATGCACTTATACTATATGTCCTATATAATCTATTGTATGGATTTTATAGATTCGCTTACATACGTTTGGTGCGTGCAATTTATAGCATTCTAGCATTTCTAGCACACTTTTGTTTTGGTTAAATAGCTTCACATCATTCAGGTATTTGAAGTGCACTTTTTATTGGACCTTTAAATGTGAACACACTATTTATGCTACAAAATGTCACAGAACATAAGTATGTGTATTGTATACATAAGTACACTGTATACAAGTACAGAATGGTAAATATGTACACTTTTGAGTTTCTGGTGAATCCAATGCATACTCTCCATACTATATAAGCCATACTATATACAAGATTAAGATCATCAAGTTGTGTTTCAACTCATAGTACATTGATGATGATAAGCCAAAAGGACCAGATGGTATAGGATATTATTTGTGTTTCATTTTCAAAGCACATGTCTTTCAAGCTTTTGTGCTGACATTGCACACAATCCCTAAAAATGAGTGATTAAATTGACTTGAATTGAATCACAAAAAATATTAGGCCAAAGTTACAATATAGCTATTGCAGTTTTTAAAGATATAAGCAGTTAACTATTAATGAATTTAAAGGCAATACATTTAACTTGCTGCTAACATTCATACTTAAATGTGGTGACATTTCAATAACATTGTTCCAGCACTAATGAGGTACATAAAGTACTTTTAGAGCGTACTAAAAGTACACAAATTAGGATGCAGTCAGGACGACTGGAGGTCAGCACCTCTTTATCATTCAAATTAAGGGCTTAAATTAATTTCAAGAACTGATTACACATTTTTGTGAAAAGTTTAATGGGGACATACAAATCCATTTGCAATGAAATATTAAGGTGCCAATAACAAGCATCTTGGAAAACAGATGTCTGGATGATAGTGGGCTATTAGTGGTATACTTTATCTCTACAGTTAGTTGAAGTTTGTACCTAAATTTGAAGATGACTCAAATCATATACGATTTCTTACATTCCCTCTAAGGCACCATTGTGCCTTAGAGCAAGGTGCTTATGCTTCCAGGACTGCGAGTGATGAAAAGCATCTCCTACATTGGAAATAGGATTGGATCATCAAGAAGTTTTCTTAATACAAAAGTTCTATCTTTTGCTTCAGTCTTGTGTAATAATAGGGCAATTTACTTGAGGAAGTTATTGTGAGGAAGATAAAACAGTTTGATGTACTATGAAAATATACTGTGTACTATGAAATTATGCTGTAAAAATCTCAGAACTATAAACTACTTCCCCAGAGCATTCACTGGTGAACAAATAAGAAATCCCACACATCAATGACATGATTCAGAAGCTGTGGGCCCAGTAATAAAAATCCATTCACAGTGAGACTTTGACTTTTGACTGATATGACACCCTTAACCCTCATGTTGTTTTCTGGTAATTTTGACCTGGAGATGATATTCTTTTCACAGGAAACGTTAGTTAATGTCATTGCATTGCTCTAAACTTACTGACTTTGCTCACACAGGCATTGTTTTTTTTTTTACACTTGTGGTTCCTAGTCAAAAATGACTGGCATTCAAAAAATTATTCTTGCTATACTATACCGTTTCCAAATATTGGATTTAATCCTTTCATCAACTTGTTTTCTTTCAATTAGGACATGTTTTATATTTCTTTTTGGATGCGATTGATCGTATGACTCACTGATCTAAGCTTATCCCCCTCAGATTTTGAGATGATTAAACTTTTTTCATAAGCTTAGATCAATGAGTTCCAAACAGAAAGTACAGGACCCATATTATAGAGACAATCCCCCTGGAAAAACCTGGATTAAGGTGCCTTGCTTAAGTGCGCAAACGTACCCCTGTTGTGATCAAGCCAACAATCTTCTGATTATAAGCCTCAAGCTTTCCTACTGTGCTTCACCATCCCATAAGTATGGTAATGTCATTTCCAGGCATGGAAGGTGACGGTGAAGTTATTATCAACCCAGTTCAGAACTGCAGTCACTGTGAGTCAGGAGATTGCCACGAGACCTCTGAGGGCACGGTGTGCTACTGTGATGAAGAGCTCTCGCTGGCCCCAGACGGAGTGTCCTGCATCAACTCTACCGGTTAGTTCATTCATAACACACTTCACCACCATTAGATGAATGGCTGTCTCATAAAATGGTAAAATGAATGTCTGGGAAGAGTGTTCTCACAAAGTTCTTTCTCAAGAGTGGCACTTACCTCTGTAAAGCCAAGTTCAATTCTCTACCATTTACAGTCTTTCTGGCAGAGGTCACAACTGTCAACTGTAGCTCCGTTTGCCAAAAAAAAAAAAAGAGAGAGAGATAACTTTCCACCATTACACACCTCTTTTAGCAACTGTTCCATTAATTCAGAATGTTTTACACATCTGTTCATATATGCAAATCGATTGAAATTCCCTCTGTTCTCCAGCGCTGTTTTTAACTTCATAAGTGTTTAGTTACTACGTGAGTTAGTGCCCATGGGTTCATGCTAATTATATGCTAATATCAACACTTCGAAGCTCTAAAAAAAGCTCCAAAAATGTAAACACTTTGACAGGTTTTTAAGAAATAAGCAAGAAAAATAAGAATTAAATTGCATCAGATAAAAAAGATTTTTAAGAAAGCTTTTCAACTCTCTGCTCAGTACGTCAAAATCTCCTTAATCCCAGGTTAAAGAGTTTTCTATACTATATTGACATGTTTTCTAATAGGAAGTTGAGGCAAGGCATATTGAAATGGTCATTACTTCCAATATGCACACATATATATATATATATATATATATATATATATATATATATATGCGCGTGTT